TGTGCCCTCCTGCAGGAGCTCTCGGAGGAGCAGAGCTTTGCCATCAGCTACCTCGACATTGGTGAGCACCTGGGACCCCCAGGACCCCCTTAAACCCCTCTGCTCCTCCCCAGGCACCCCCACCTTCCCCAGGGTACCCCCATGCCACCTGGACAATGCTGGGACCCCCTTAGACCCTCTGCTCCTCCCCAGGAACCCCCACCTTCCCCAGGGTCCCCCCATGCCACCCAGACAATCCAGGGTCCCCCACTTACCCCAGGGTATCCCCACCTCACCTGGATACCCCCGGACCCCCTTGGCCCCTCTGCCTCTCCCCAGGTTATTCCCACCTCCCCCAGGCACCCCCATCTCTCCTGGGACACCCTTTCAGCCCCTCTGCCCCTCCCCAGGCACCCCCCCAGCCCCATGGGTGCCCCAAGCTGGGCTCGGGGGGTGCTGTGGGGGTGTCGGGGTGACCCCTGCTGTCTCCCCCAGACGCACTGAGCCTCAGTGGGCTGCACCAGTGCCTGGTGGAGCTCTCGACGCAGCCGACCACCGTGTGCCACGGGGCTGCCCCGTCCCGCGATGGTGCCCGAGCCCAGGCCGCCCGCAACGCCCTGCAGTACCTGCGCATCATGGCGGGGGGCAAGTGACCCCCCCGGGGGCGAGTGACCCCCCCGGACACACCCAGGACTCGCTGGACTCACGGCAGGGCACCTGGCCCCCATCCAACACCCCCCGGACACAGGGACCCGCCTGGGTCTGCAGATGGACAGACACACGGACCTCAGGGCCCAGGGGCTCCCTCTGGCCTGCCCTCCCCCCCCCCCAACAGCGCCAGGAGGGTTCCCGGGCACCATCGGCCCCCAGGAATAAAGCTGGGGGGATTTGTACTCCCCGTGTCGGCGTCTGCTGGGGGGGCTGGGGGGCAGAAAGGGGGCTGATCCCTCCTCCCCCCGACCCGTTCCCCAGGGGTAAAAGCAGAGTGAGCACTCAGGGGTGGGGGGCACCACTTTATTGGGTGATGGACGGACCCACGGACGGGCTTGGGAGGGGCTTGGCTCCAGGAGGGAGGGACAGACGGACGGACTCGGGGCCGGACGCTCAGCGGCGGCGGCCGAAGCGCTGCGGGGTCGCCATCGTCCAGAACGGGGCGAGCGGGGGGTCCCAGCTCCGGGGGCTGAGCCGGGCCTGGGCCCCCCCCTGCGGCCCCCACCCCGACCTGCCGGGGGACACGGCACCGCTGAGCCCTGGCAGGGACAGGACGGGGACGGACGGGATGGCTGGGTGGGAATGAACGGGTGGATGGGGCAGATGGGAATGGGCTGAGGGACACGGACAGACAGACACAGGACGTTCACGGACAGACGGACATTAAAAGGGACCTCCATCCCTGCAACGCTCCAGCTTCTCGAAACCCCCCGCGTCTCCCTCCACCTCCTGGGTCCCCTCGTCCCCAGCCTCGTCCCTCGCAGTGCCCGGGACGCCCCCTCCGTGCCCCCAGACCCCACACCCCGGGACCCCCATCCCCGCTCACCTCTGGGGCTGGAGGAGGGTCCCGGGGGCGCGGCCGGGGCGTTGCAGGGACCGGAGCAGCGCGCCCAGGGCGGCGGCGGCGGGGGGCGGCCCCGGGGGGGCGGCGGCGGCGGCCTGTACCGGGGGAGGACCGGGGGTCACGGCGGTCCCGGAGCCGGAGTGTGACACCCCCCCTTCCAATCATCCCGAGCCTCCCCCCGTCCCAAACCGAACCCCCCGTTCCGACGGCGCGGCCGGGCCGGGGCTCACCGGGGCCGGGTCGAGGGTCCCGGGGCAGCAGCGGGCGCTGCGCGGGGTCCCCGCCAGCAGCAGCAGCAGCAGAAGCAGCGCCGGACGCCCCGTCATCGCCCCCACCATCGCCCCCGCCCCGCCGCCGCCGCCACCTCTTATAGCCGGGCCGGGCCGGGGGCTCCCAGGGGAGCGGGGGGCGGCGGGGACGAGTCCCGGCTAATGAAACCCATTTACCAGCCGCGACAGCCGCCCCCGGGGACGGACGGACGGATGGACGGGGCGGTCCCGCACATCCCCGCCCCGCCCGGGACCCGCAACCGGCACCACCACCGGGGCTGCCCGCACCGGCCAAGAGAGACCCCCGGCCCATCGCCGGGACCCCCGTCCTTCACTGGCACTACCTGAGAACAGGACCCCGCCCCGTGCTGACCCCCATCCTCCCTGCATCGCTTCCCTACCGGAGCAGGACCCTCGGAGACAGGGACCCCTCCCCTGCCCTGGTACCCCCTCTCTGGAGACCCCCTGAGACAGGGACCCCTCCCCTGCCCTGATACCCCCTCTCCGGGGACCCCCCGAGACAGGGCCCCCCTCCCGGGCACCCCCTGAGACAGGACCCCCTTCCATTTTCGGGGACCCCCTGAGACAGGACCCCCGCCCTGTCCCGGACCCCCTGAGACAGGGCCCCCTCCCCTCTCCGGGGACCCCGTGAGACAGGAACACCCCTCCGAGCACCCCCTGAGACAGGGCCCCCGCCCTGTCCCGGACCTCCAGAGACAGGACCCCCTCCCCTTTCCGGGGACCCCCCAAGACAGGACCCCCTCCCCTTTCCGGGGACCCCCCGCGCCCCCCCCGCTCCGCCGCCTCTCGCTGCCGCCACCCGGTGGCCCCGCCGCGCTCCTGCAGCCCCGACGGCGCGGCCGCAGCTCCGTCCGACCCAAAACCTGCTGAAATCGCCCCAAACGCTCACCTGAGGCTGCCCCGCGCCACTGCGGCGTCCCCACAAGCAGCTCACCCGCTGTGTCACCCGGGGAGGGGACCCGACACGCCCCACGCCGTCCCGAGTCCAGGCGGTGTCACCGCGGTGGCGACCGAGGGTCATCACAGCACCCTCTACCCGGTGACACCCACACCGTGAACCCCCCCCGGGCACACTCAGGGGTGTCCGTGGCACAGGTGACACGGGGGATGTTCCCTCCCCTCCCGACCCCCCAAAAGCAGAGGGCAACAACCATCATCTCCTGGGTAATATTTTAATGTTATATTTGCAGCATAAATAAAAGGCACGTTACATGTTTGGTACGACACGGCCGAGGGGGGGGGGGGGGGGCTTGGGGCGTGTCCCCCCGGATCCCTCCCGCGTCCCCGGGCCCCCGCGGGGGCTGTGAGGACCCGCTCACAGGAGCCCGTGCGGAGGGGGGGTCCCTCGGGGGCTGCGGAGGGGGGGATGTTCAGCTAAAAAGGAGCTGCCCCGCGGCGGCGGCCGATCTACGATATATGGGTGCATATACGCGTCGATATGGACTGATAGATACTACACGGTTACGCTTCTCGGGGCGGGGGGGGTCCTTTTTTTTTGGCTTCTTCCATTATTGATCGTCAAAGCTCGTGGTACAAAAGCAGCTGGGTGGGGGCAGGGGGTGGGGGGAACGCCCAGGACCCTCCTCCCGTGTCCCTCTGTCGCCTCCTGGGCTCGATTTGGGGCATCGTCGCTGCCAGAGCCCCCCCGTGTGCACGGAACCGGGCGGGGGGAACCGAACAGAAACGGGTCCATGGGTCCGAAAATGGCTCATTTCCCATCCGAACCGCCGAATTTCCGAACCAGGGACCAGTCTCGGCGGGGGGGGCACCAACCCTTCCCACCCGCCCGGTCCTGAGGGACTCGGAAGCCAATGAGGAGAATTTTCATCTCTGCCAGAGGGAAAGGAGGGAAGGAGCAGGAGCTCCCTCATCACGAACTCCCCCGGGCCGTGGTTTTGAGCCATTTGTTCCTATTCAATGTTACAGTTACGATAAAAAATCGGTAAAACTCGACTCCCACGGGCCAGTCCTGCTGTCTGGGCTCTCCCCAGCTCGACCCCAACACAAAGGAGCCCTTTCAACCCTGCAGGGCTCTGGAGAGGAGCCCCCGTGTCACCCTCCCGCCATTTCAAGCCCTGGCAGAGGGATGGAGATCCCGGGGACCCAAACACGGGATGGGGTTGGGGGCAGGCAGGTGGAAACCCTGGGACACCCCAGGGTTCCAGGGGAGCAAAGTGCAGGTGCTCGGCACTGCCGAGCGGGCCCGGGGGCTGCCACCCCCCGGGAGCCTTGGAAAAGCAGGAGAAATCACCACAGAGCAGAAATCAGGTTGTTTCGCCCCAAAAGCAGCTGCAAAGTCTTCAGGCAAGAGTTGAACCAGCACGGGGAGGAGGAGGAGGAGGAGAAAAAGCGACCTTCATCCCACCTCTCCTCACAGGGGAACCCAGCACCACCAACCCGACAGAAAATCTGACTTCTCACCCAAAAAACCCCCAACCCCCTGCACGTCCATCGCCAGCACCATGCCAGCCTGGGGAGGGAATTGCTCCCAAGGGAGGCCATGAGGAAGGGAAGGATGATGAGAGGTACTAACCAGCTCTTCCCAGCCGTTTTGGGAGAAAATTCCACTCCCTGGAGCCCAAAGGCTCCTTGGGAGCAGAGACCACCCTGATCCCAGAACTCCTCACCCAGGCAGCCCAATGGATCCACACGTGGCTGCTCCATCAGCCAGAGGGGCTGGAAGAGTCACCCCTTGAACCCCCCACCTCCTTCAGAGTGGACCTTCGGCCCCTTCCCAGGTTTTGGGTGGTTCTGATGAGACCCCAGCAAGGGACGAGCATCACCCCTATGCCCCAAAGTGACTCCTGGGACATCACCCATCACCTGGATGGGAGCAGAGGATCCTCCTGAGGCTGGATCCCTGTGGATTCCTGCTTTGCACCATCCAACACCTTCCCAGTACGAGAAATGGGACCTGAGCCCGCTCTGGGATCTGCTTCCAGGGCAGCCTTTGAGGTAAAACACACCTGAAATGGGCACAGGGAGCTCCAACCCTGTGACTGAAGCAATAATAAGTCCAGGTATGGCCAAATGCTTGTTCCCTGCTTGTCCCTGCCCAGGTTTGGAGTTTTCCAACTGCCTTTTCCTGGATTTGCAGAATTTTCAAGGCACTAAAGCGCTGGCGATGGGAGATGTGGGAATGGGGCGGCACCGACGGCATCGGGGCATGGAGGGAGAGGGAGAAAAGCTGCTCCTGCACCCCCATCCCAGTGGGGCCACCAGGATTCCCTGGAGAGGTGAGGCAGGAAAAGCCCTTTGTGGGCTGCAGGCTTGGCTCTCCCATCACACAGAATCCAGCCACTTTTACTCCCCAAGGGTAAAACAAAGAGCTGGGGAAGCTGCTGCCTTTGATCCAAACACTGTCCCAGATTTTCCACCTCTCCACCCTCTGCTCACTCCTGATCCTGCCAGCAAAGCCCCCACTGGCCTTCGTCTCTCCTTCCCCCCAGACCCCACAGTAAACAGGGAACCAGCGGTGGGACCAGCCCAGAGCTCAATTCCTTCCTTTCTTCCCCTTCCCACTGAGACTTTTCCTGGAGGGACAGGCTTTCCTGCAGAGCTGAGTGCTGGGATGGCCCAGGAGGAACTGCCAGACACCACCACTCCCTCCACGACATGGCATGAGACCTGCACCTCCTGCAAACCCTTGGCCTTAGATCCTGATCCCCCCAAAACAGGCCTGACCCCCTGCTGTGCCTCACCCGGCCCCAAACCCTTAGAATCATAGAATCAGTTGGGTTGGAAGGGACCTCCGAGATCATCAAGTCCAACCCTGGATCCACTACGGCCTGGTCACGTCCTGGGTTGGGATTGGGAATGCTGGAAACATCTGTGAACCCAGGGACTGTGCAGGAACAGCTTTACAGGAGAGAAAGGCAGCTCTGGGGCGCTGTGTGGGATCCAAACCAGAGGCTGGATGTGACCCCAATCACAGACAGGAGTTGGGATGAGCACAAGAACAGAGGGGGAGTGCAGGAGCAGCAACACAAACCAACCCCAGGCCACGAGTGGTCGGTGTGGCCACAGAGGTGAGGAAGACCTGGGAAAGAGGGAGGGGGAGAAGACAGATCCCATCCATGGAAAAACCCAAACCACTGGACTCCCCTGGTTGTGATGAGATCCCAAGTTTCCTGCTCAGCCTTTGCTTTGGGTTTTGCTGTCCCTGGAAACCTTCCAAGTCTGGGGAAGCCAAACAAAAATCACTTGGACAAACCAACTTGGCTCCAAAGTGGCGAAGTGCGACCTGAGGGGGAGGAGGGCTTGGCTGAGGAGGAACCTGGGAGGGGGAGGAAGACCAAGGGCTAATGCAGCTCCATGGACCATGACAAGATTCCTTCCAAGAGCCTGAACACACGTGAAACCCCTTCCCATTTCCAAACCACCGGCTCCAATCGGCACCTTGGGAAGCCCAGAAGGACACACACGGACACACATGTGCCCAAGGCCCACCTGGCAGGAAAACAGACCCAATTCCAAGAGTCTCCCAACACGGAGGGTGGGTTCTTAACCTGCCCTATGAACTGGAAGCTCCATGAATCCTTTGTTTGCTCTGGTTGGGAAGCAACAGATGCTCCGTCACCGTGAGCAGAACATCATCGTGAGGAAGAGGCAAAAGACCGGGCAGACACCATCCCGTGTTCCCTCCCCTCGGAACAGGCAACTAATCCACGATTTAAGGCCACCATTATTAAGGTCATCGAGGTCACGTGTGTGGGAGATGATCCCTGGGAACGGAGGGATGGGTTTGCTCAGGTGTGCGGGATGCCGGATTTGGGGACTCACACGTCGCTGCCTGCTGGGTCCTTCCCTGAATCCCAGAGTGCCCAGTCCCTGTGGATGCCCACCAGCACTGGTTTGCTGTTGGGAAGACGGGAGTGGCCCCGTGGCTGCCTGGACAGGCCGTACCTTTCCCAGCACCCGGCGTGGGAGCAGCACCTGAGCACCCGCAGCTCCCGGCACGGCACCGGTGACCGGGAACACGTGTCCCCTTCTCCCAGCCAATTTTACAGCGGTCACACTCCCGTTGTGTCCAAGAT